GGATAAACTATATGTGCCTCACTACCCATTTCATAGAAATGATTGGAAACTGAACAAAAAGATCCTAAATTTCTGTCCTATTGCTAGTCACAACGGAAATGAAATTAGTAAGGCCATAGAAAAATGTCTACTAGAATGGGGAGTTGATGATATTCTAACTGTTACAGTTGATAATCCAAGTTCCAACGATTTAGTTGTCCAATATTTACAAGGAAAACTTCAAAATTGGGGAAAAGCTATGTTAAGGGGGAAATGGACTCATGTGAGGTGTGTAACTCACATAGTGAATCTAATTGTCAATGATGGCATCAAAAAACTTGGGGATTCAGTTGATTGTATCAGGGCTGTAGTTAGATATTTTACACAGTCACCTTCTAGATTGAAAAAATTCAAGGAGTGTGTTGAAATTGAAAAAATTGAATGTAAAAGATTGCTCAGTTCGGATGTCTTTACTAGGTGGAATTCTACATATCTAATGCTAGATACAGCTCAGAGGTTTGAGCGAGCTTTTGAGAGGTTTGAGGAGCAGGATCCTTGTATGCTTCAAGAGTTAGAAAATCTGCTAACAAAATCTGATTGGACAAAAGCTAGATTCTTGGTAATTTTTTTGGAAAACTTTTATTAGCTAACTGTGAAGGTTTCCGATTCCAAATATGTGACTTCAAATAATTTTTTCATTGATATTAGTCACATTCATGGTATTTTTATTGAAATGGCAGCAAGTGACAATAATGAATTGAGTTCAATGGCAAGATCAATGAAGGAGAAATATGACAAGTATTGGGGAAAGATTGAAAAGATGAATATGCTGATTTTTATTTTCTCCATTCTTGATCCTCGAACTAAATTTGAATACCTTGAATTTGTAGTTTGCCAAATGTATGGTGAGTCCAATGGTACAACACTAGCTGGCTTTGCAAAAGATGCAATGTTTGAGCTGTTTAATGAATACAAGATGCTTAGCACACCTGCCTCACATTCTGCCTCTCACGCTTCTTCACTTTCAAGTGATTCTCAAAAGAGTAAAACTACATTTCATGGAGATGCCTCTAAAACAATCACTGATAGGTACAAGTTGGAGTTTAAGACGAGAAAAATGGAACTTGGGGGTAGAAATGTAAAATCTGAATTAGATAAATATTTGAATAAGGAGTGTGAGGAAGATGATGAGAGATTTGATATCCTGTTGTGGTGGAAGGCCAATAGCCTTAGATTCCCAATCCTTTCTAAAGCTGCTCGCAATGTGTTAGTAGTCCCAATTTCTACCGTTGCCTTCAAATATGCTTTTAGTACGGAAGGTCATGTTTTTGATACATTTAGGAGTTCTTTGACTCCTAGAATTGTACAAGATTTAATATGTGTTCAAGATTGGCTTTAGTCCTCCAAGATAGAATTGAATGTAGAAGAAAATCTGGAAGAGCTTGAAACCTTTGAATCTGGTAAGCTATCAAATTTCTTATTGTAGAATTTAAAGTATTTCTTTATTTCTAATAATTGCCTTTATGATACTTCATGAATTTTGTTTGCTCTTACAAAGTTGGTGAAGGTGGGAGCTGCTATAATTGACCTTTGAGAGGTCACAAATGCTAAAGTTTGAGTGTTGAGAGTTGAACCAACTCTTGTTGTAGTTTCTGGACAATGACTTTTCATTTTCGATTATGGAGTGTAGTTTATGATTTGTGGACAAGTTAATTTCGAATTTTATTTTTGCATTATGGACTGTGGAGTGTGAATTTTTAGTTTCACCAGTTTGTAGTTTGTGGATCAGTGATCCAACTACAATATGTGTTATAGATTGTGGAATATCAGTACTAATTTTAAGTTCATGTTTGTGGCCCAATTACTGTATTGAATTTGGTTAAACTTACTGGCTTTTCTGAAATTCAGTTAAATCAGTAAATAATCGAATTCCGAATTGAAATCAGATTGAATTTGAATTCAAAATTTTCTATTTCAATTACGAATTAGGTCGAATTTTTCCAGATTCATTTACTGAAAATTACCAATTTGAAACTACCAAATTACCGACTTCGAATTCGATACTCACCCTTACTTCAGTAGCAGCAAAAAATTTCAATCTAGTCACATTAGTTGACAAGATTTTTGGTGATTAGGTTTGGGGTGATTTTGAAGGTCAAAATTATGTATCCCTTCTTGAACCAAAGAAGATGGTGAACATTTTGTAATTTTGGATATCTAATTTCAATTTATACCTATCTTTGATAGGAAAAGCTTGAAGATCTTGGGATTAAATATGATTTCAGGTAAAAGTAGTAATTAGGTCTGAATTTCTCTTAGAGTTTGAAATTTGATCGGTGGTGGTCAAGGAAGAAATGCTATTTGTCAACGGCCAAAGTAGGTGGAATGTGTAGGAACGGAAAAAAAGGGGAAAAAAAGAGGGAAAACGGTTAAAAAAGTATAATATCTTATTCAGATACCCAAAACTAAAATGATTTTTCCAAACAATACATATTGTAATGATAACATAGGCCCATACTAATTATTTGTATATGATATCAATTCCAATTCCAATTCCAATTGTGGAGCATGAACCAAGCACTCCCCGAAAATCCCTGCTGCTAAAAAAAAGAGTGGAATAAACTCATGTTACGAGAAGATGGATATTCAAATATAAAATAATCTTTGCATTTATAATCAAATCTAAAGGATGTGTAGTAGTGCACACTTTTAGTCTAGAGGTAATATTCTCTTTCTATAATTCTTTTTGGTCCAATTGAGCCCTTTCTTTCCCTGATATAAATTAGAGTATGAATAAGAGTTACCATTGACCAAAAAAAAAAAAAAAAAAAAAACCACTAGGCTCTAATAGCATATGAGTCCCTTCGTTTGTTTTGTACTTGAAGCCTTGAATTGGCTCAAAGAAATAAAAAATAAAGGGAAAACTCCAAAACTGTCATAGGTCCAATTTGTCTTTCTTTTACATTATACAACTGGTATAATCGGTGTTTTGTGGCAAGGCTAGGTGATGATGGATACGGGGCAGGAGCGGTCGTCAGGCCGACCGCTCCTGAACGGTCTTCTCACAAGCAAAACATGAGGAGAAAAATGATCCACGTCAAGAGGCTTAAGAAGGGGCAAAAACGACGCCGTTCCAAATTAAAAAATTTGGGCTTCCAAACGGAATCAGACGGAGCAAACGGTAGAGTTGAAATTTTGAAAAGCAAATTGAAATTTTGAATTAGCCGCACAAAACGAAATTGAGGGAAAAGACTTGGCGTACTCCGTCTGAAGATAGGGAGCTCAGTTTTCTTTTTTCAGAAACCTCGTATCTCAGTTTTCTTTCTTAGAAAACTGTAGCACAAAATTCAGAGAGCTGAAGGAAGAGGCTTGGCGTGCTCCGTCTGAAGATAGGGAGTTGACAGAAAACTCTTATCTTAGTTTTCTTTTTTCAGAAAACTCGACACAATTTCCGTCCGAGAGTGTTACCGAGAAACTGAGAAGAGACTTTGGTGACTGGTTCAGCAAATGTTGTATCCATTTTAAATGCTTACAAGGCTTGCAGGAAGGTAGAAGCAAACAGAGGAAATTCAACATGTCATAAAACACCAGATTCTATCCTTCAACTTAATAGCAGAAGCAGCTGCACTCTCTGAATTTGGTGAAATGTAGAGTGTATTAGCAGACGAAGGTAACGTGACTGAACCATATAACTAACTGTGGCCAATTATTTGTCATCCAAATGCACATCTGTTAAATGAAGATGAAATTAGATTCACTGAAGACATCATATGAAGATGATAGAAGAATAGTAAAATTGTACCGTATCTGTGTGTGTGTGTGTGAGCATTTAGCTTTTCAGTGATGAACTATAATGGGATAGTAGTCATCGGAAGACCCAGGGGTATGTATTGAAATCAAGCGGAATTAGTGAAAGATGAGAGAAATAAAGTCACATTTAACAAGTGAACGAATGTACATCCTGTTGTAAATTAGTTACAGGTTATAGGTACTGTATTACAATTGATATGAATCATTGTGCATCTAATAGTTGGTCCATACTCATGACACAATCTTAGTTTGCCCTTCTCTCCTGACCATGCAGTGTGTATATAATGGAGGTGCAGAATTAAATGAGGTAAAACAGAGGAAAAGACCGACCTATGTGAATAATAAATGGGTGTACCTGGTGTTGTAAGTAAATTACATGATGTAATAAATATATTACAATGAGTAGAAAATGCTTATTTGGCCCTCAAAATATAGAAATAGTAAAAAATACGGAGTTGGCTTAGGCGGTTGTCATTGACGAATGACATAAGGTCTAGTGAACAAAGTACCTAGAACCTAAATATAATCATCCGAGTGGATGTACATACAGTTAAAATATACTTACAACATGTGACCAACACATTACAATATGTATAACTTATTGTACACGGAGTTGTATTTGTACATACATAATATCGTTGTCTTAGAGTATAATAGGATTTGGTGTACGAGTATTTGTACAATATTAATCATATCGATGAACGTAATAATATGATTTGGTATACGAATAATGTGTGTAACATAACACATTATGAATGGTAATATACATTTATGTTGTCGTTTATGTACATACCATTCATGAACTGCTGCAAATTAAGGTGTTTGATGCATAATTAGTAGGAGCAGAAGTAATGGATTGTAACAAATTGGTAGAAGATAGGACCCCTAAATTAGAAATGGAGTTCAATAGTGAAGAGGATGCGCACAAGTTTTACAACAACTATGCCTTTAAAACGGATTTTAATGTATGCAAAGACTATCTAAATAAAGACAAAGACGGTGTGACGACGTCTAGGAGATATAGTTACTGCAAGGAAGGTGTAAAACGCAAGTACGAAGGTGATGTGATGCCAAAAAGGACACGAGCGCCGACGAAAACAGGGTGTGGAACTAAAATGGTTATTGTGTTGCTTAGAGAGATAATGAAGTACCGTGTACATGACCTTATCTTAGAACATAACCATGAGTTGCACATTGCTTAATGTTCGCACATGATGCCATTACAAAGAAAAGTGAGTGAGGCTCAAGGATTCCAAGTTGAAACAAGCGAGGATGCTGGGATTTCATTGAAACAGAGCCATGAGCTTATGGGAAAGGAGGCTGGTGGGATGGAAAATGTGGGATATACTCGGGAAGACCTGAAACGATATCTTCGTACTCGACGGGAAAGGAGTTTGAAATATGGAGAAGCAGGTAACATGCTGAATTATTTTCAAGAGCAAACACTCGAGAATCCATCCTTTTTTCATGCCGTACAACTGAATTGTGAAGGGCAGATAACTAATATCTTTTGACTTGATGTAGGAATGTTAATTGATTACAACTTTTTTGGAGACGTAGTCACATTCGACACAACCTACAAAATAAATAAAGAATACCGCCCACTTGGAGTGTTTGTGGGTTTTAACCAACATAGGCGAATTGTGATATTCGGTACTGCCCTTATGTATGATGAGACTATAGATTCTTTCAAATAGGTATTTGGTACATTTCTAAAAGTAATGTGCGGAAAGCGTCCAAATACCATATTAACCGATCAAGATCACGCCATGGCAGCCGCTCTTTCAGTTGTCATGCCAGAAACATTTCACGGTCTATGTACGTTTCACATAAGGCGTAATTTTATGAAACATCTTGGCAATCATTACAAGAAAAATAGTGATATTCCATACATGTTTGGTGCCTGGATGTATGAGTTTGAAGAAGTGGAACAGTTCAATAGGGTGTGGGAGGCGATGGTGAAAAAATACAATCTTGAAAATAATAAATGGATTTTCGAGTTGTATCGAATTCGTGATAAGTGGGCAAGGTATATGATGAAAGAAAGATAGACCGCGGGAATGCAAAGCACCCAATTTAGCGAAAGCCTAAATGTAGCAATTAAAAATCATTTGAAACTGGATCATGATCTTGTGCAGTTCTTTAGACATTTCAATCGAGTGATTGATGATAAGAGACATAATGAACTCATCGCAGAATATGAAATGAGGCAAAAGCACCCTATGGTTGGGTTGAGGCAAACACCTGTGCTTGTACATGCAGCAGAGACGTATTCACCCACCGTATTTGTTGCATTCCAAAATGAATATGGCGAGTCAACAGCTATGGTTATATTGAGACAACAAGATGCAGGGATGTTTGTAGAGTTTGCGGTCATGAGATATGATGGAGGATCTGAAAGAATAGTGGTATTCAATCGGAATGATCTAAGTGTACATTGTAGTTGCAAAAAATACGAGAATGAAGGAAATTTGTGTGGACACTCATTGAAGGTGTTTGATACCGTAGGCATAAAGACAATTCCTCTTGAATACGTTAAGAGACGATGGACAAGAAGAGCTCGAGCTGGAGATTGTTTTGATCGGTAAGGACGGGAAATTATAGCTGATCCAAAAGCAATCATTTCAACTCGTTATCGGGAGCTCGCTCCAGCCATGATTAAGGTCGCAACTCGAACAGCAATGTCGGAGGACACCAGTAAAATAGCAATCACTGTCACATCCGATTTGGCAAAGAGAGTTGAACTCTTCCTCTCAGAAAGCGAAGAGCAACCTTTGCAAAATCAAAAAAATCTGAATGTCGAGAAATAGGATAAAATTGAAATTGTAAATGAAATGAGGGAGGCAGTAGTCGCAAGAGGCATTAAAAAATGAGGTGGTGGGAAGAAAATTAGAATGATGCGAAGTTGGGTTGATAAATTTGACAGAGTAAAAAGAAAATCTAGACTGTCAAGGACTACACAGACTACGGTATGGATCAAATTTTGGTACTAGGGGAACATTTATGCTAAAACTAAGTTATCGTTATACTATTAACTAAAGTTTAGGTACCATTAATTATGAAATAATATTATTGCCGTGTCAATACTGTAGGTCTCAGAATCGGAGCCGACATCTGTTTCATTTGAGGAATACATGTTTATGGGATGCTGTTCATCTACTGATTCTGTTTCGATTAGTATAAAATGGACATGACTGTTGCTTTTATTTAGATGTTTCTAACAGCATAAATAGTTACATTGATGTTACATTGTGTGACAATGTTGTTATGGCCGTCATCCCTTCTGATATACCTATTTTATTTGTCTTATACAATGAATTGGCCCATACGAAACTCGTAGACCCATTCAATGAGTCAGACAGTGAATGGCCCTCCAAACGCTGTTGCTCCTGATATCGATGAAAGTGAAACGGTATGCATATATTTAGTAGTTAAAATAAAGACCTTCTTATTCGTGTAGTAGAACTATCTTTTTTTCTTTAATTGTAATTGTGGGCACCCGAACGTTGTCAAATCATGCAAATTATGTAGTTAACGTCTGTTCGCTTTAATAACATATTATTTTTTATTATGCGAACCTCCACCGTTTGACTAATCAGGGGCCTCCTGCAAGTGTCCCTACAGAATGGATGCATCCCAAATTATCTATTTTTTTCAACCATAACGCCGTCAGAGATATTTTAATGGTCTGATATATCATTTTTGTTATAATGTCTAGTCTAATTTAACGTTATAAGTGAGCAATATAGGCACTGGTAATGATTTGTGGACAGCCAATTACTTATACTACGTAATGTAAGAGGAGCGTGCGGCAATTTCAACACACTGTGATGTTGATGCATATCATGTATTTGCACCATCACCGCAGGTGACAAACTTTTATCATTAAAGCACATGTTTATGTAATATTGTTAATTGGAGACTTGGATATCGTATATCATTAATTGTATGTTTCATTAATAATATTTGCTGATTTGCCATCGTTTCGCATTTCAGGGAGGAAATAACACTCAGGGATTGCAACTACGCGTTGATGTGGCCTCTCCCGAGAATGAGATTGATGAATGATGTGTAACTATACTTTTTGAACGAGACATTAAGTGGCTGTTCCAACCTGAAAATTCTGCATATGTATGTTACAAGCAATTAATAATCTGTTACAACTTATTGACGAGATTGTACAGGCACCATTGATGTACGAGGATCTTTGTATTACAAGGATGAGTATTACGGATAGTATCACAAGCTTATATCAGTAGGTATTACTCCTTCAGTATAGAAATGAAGTTACAATTGATGGCTCGGCTTGGTTCCCATTGACCACATAATAAGTAACAGTTTCGTAGAAGAACATGATATTTCGTTGGAACTAATTTGAAAATAGGGTAACTAATATTTAAAATACAACAAATTTTGATTACGCGATGTACATTTTGAGTTACAACCATTTATGTATATTTTACAAATCATTACAACTAATGAATTTGCAATTGACAGTTTTTCGAATATCTAGTTAAAACTAGTGATATTATAACTAGAAATTCCCTGATATTACAACTAGTGATACTACAACTAGTTAATATCCGATGAACATTTCCTCTTTTCTTGTATGTGCTATTGCCCTCGGTACAAACAATAAGTCCTCCCCCCAACACATAAAATTTCTTAGACACTTTAGTAAGTATCTAATAAGAACATAGAGATGGCCGATTTGAACCCCAAAACAATTGATGTAGTGAGATCTTCTCGAACATTTCATTAAATTAGCGAGATCTTCCTGAACATCATGCAATCTACTGGCTGTTCTTTGGCACCCAAGAATTTGATTTTTGTGTGAACCCTCTATTGATGACACTGCAATTGAAGTTAGAGGAGGATTGAAGAATACTAATAACAAATTTCAGGTACGGGTTCATTGTCACCCTTCAGTAGAATAAAATGGAAAGTGTGAAGAATAAAACGAAAAATTTTTTCTCTAACTGGGATATAATACTGCAACCACGCCCTTTTACAGTGCGCAGGACCCTCACAATGTGCTAAAATATGCCTAGACAACGCATTCCAGGCCAAACAATTTTGTCATGGGAGTAGAAACTGTAGAGTTCGATGTATGCCATTGAACTATGTCAAATCTGTTCAGACAATAAAACAAATTATGCAGATTTTGTAATGAAATGACCTGTGCACCAATATTTAGAGTCACGTGTATAAAGAGTTACACATCAGTGACCTGTATGTTTCACTATGTACGGATTGTGTTACAACCAGTTAGGTGTGTGTTACAATTCATTATAACCAATGAATTTGCAATCAGCAGCTTTTCGTCTGCTGTATTTAAAACTGAATAATATTCCAACTAGATATTCCCCGATGTTACAACTAGTGATAATACAACTAGTTAATATTGGATTAACCTTTCCTCTTCTCTTGTTTGTGCTATTACCCTTCAGATAAGCTGGCAGATAAGCTGGCATCAGACAGCTTATTGAATTTTTCCATTTTTAAAATTCCTTCCTGCAACCAATAACATGGACGAGTATGAGCAGTGTAAAAGACATCAGTAATAGTGCGTTGGCTTGTAATACCAATTTAGATATGATGCTGACAAAATTTAGCACATAATAGGATACAGTCCAAATTTCAAACTCACAACTGCTAGAGGTTTAACGATGTAGCGTTCAAACTTCATATTTTTAGTAGTTCTTCCACCCCAATTCATGAGAAGGGCAAACATGTCAACCACCTAATCAATATCTAATGGTTTCCAAAACATGTAATTGACTGTTACAATTGCGTTTACGTATCACTAATCAATCAATAAATTGACGCTCAAATTTTTTTAATAAACATAATAAACTACTGACCCGATTCGATACATGCATGCCATTTTCGAGTGTCTTCAAGTCAAGCCGTGTCAGTGAGAATTGAAACATTTGAATAAGTATGTCCCTATCAAATCCGAGCCACAATTGAACGATTTACTAATAAAAAATAATCGTACTCCAAAAAACGGACATGTAATAATGAAGTCAATTCTCATCCATTTTCATACTATTTTCCTGGGCCATCTTACAATGAACCACATGCGTACTTATCGAAGAAAATGGCTCACAAGATCGAATTAATAGTTTTGTCAAGAATCTTACTTGGGATTTTTGTTGGGGTCCCATGCATATGCAACCACATTTTTATCGTACATGCTTACTGTCACAGGTGCAGGTAGAATGAACTCCGCTGACCGCAGAACGATGCTCTTCTTTGTTGCACGTGTAGACTTGTGCTTCATCTCAACGTCAGGACCTCCTAAAAAATAAAGAACATGCATTTCACATACAATTTATCTGTTGTTGTGTAACAAATTGTAAAGCATTTTGGAACAGTATTCAAACACAATGTAACTAACAGTCTAGAAACATCAATCGATTAATTTTCAAACTCACTGTAACTGTCCCAATAACTATTTTGTAACGCCCTTCAAACACACTGTAACTAACACTCTTCAAACAGTTTTGTATTAATTTTCAAACACACTATAACTTCCCAATAACTATTTTGTAACAACCTACAATCACACTGTAACATGTAATCATCAAACATGGAGTTTTGTATTAGTTTTCACATTCTAACTTCCCAATGAAGTATTTTGTAACAACTTTCAATAACATTTAACTTTCTAATAACTATTTTGTAGCAACCTACAAACACTTCGTAACTAACAGTTTACGAATATGGAGTTCTGTACTAATTTGCAAACTATACCTTCCCAAATAACTATTTTGTAACAATTTTTGAACATACTGTAACTTCCCAATAACTATTTTGTAACAACCGACAAACACTTCGTAACCAATAGTCTTCAAATATGGAGTTTTGTATTAATTTTCAAACTGCAACTTCTCAAATAACTATTTTGTAATAGTCTTTGAACGCACTATAACTTTCCAATAACTATTTTGTAACAACCTACAAACACTTCGTAACTAACAGTCATCATATATGAAGTTTTGTATTAATTTTTAAAATGTAACTTCCCAATAACTAATTTTATAACAAACTATAAACCCACTGTAAACAGTCTTTAAATATGGAGTTTTGTATTAATTTTTAATCTGTAACGTCCCAAGTAATTTTTTTCGTAACAATCTTTAAACACACTGTAATTTCTTAATAACTATTTTATAACAATCTTCAAACACGATGTAACTAACAGTTTTTCAAACACACTGTAACTTCCCAATTGGCTTAACATGACATTAGGCTTATCTGGATGTGGTTGAAATAAAGTCATACTTAATTATTATACTCAATTCAGTTTGTCGTGTCCGTTTTATATGCAGCTGACATTGGTGTGTTATAACACTATGCCTACAAGTTTTGAATGATGACTAGTGACAATTCAGACCCATATACATAGCATCATGATGGTATAAACAGAGTTACCGTGTGTGTATATAGTTGTTACAGTCATGTTATTTGAATTAGAACCTTATGAATATTATAACTGTACCAACCTTTCCACTTTCGACCATATGATCGCAACCTACGTGGTGCTTCTAGCTGATGTAGATGTGACGTCGATGCACTAGCG